TATTTAGGTGGCGACTCTGTATCTGGCAAAGCAGTCCATGTTTGGCACTTCTTTCTTTTTCCTTCCTTTTTTTCACTTCACTTTTTACCATTTTCATTTTCTATCATTCGTTTCTTTCTAAACAAAAACGGAGCCTAAAATATCAATTCCATTGAATCAAAAGCATTACATATATAAAATTCGAAGATTTCCTAGACCAACTAGAACAAAAAAAGTAAACGAGTAAAACGTTGACTTTCAAAACCTATCTAAGATCAAATAAGAAACATAACTAAAAATTAATTTATTAACTTGACCCACTTGACGACCCATGGGCGACCCCTACAGCCCATGATAGCAAATATGAAAATTGCCAAAATACCCATGACCTAAAAACTCTAAAAAAACAGAAAATAAGACTTTAATAAAAAAAACTTGAATCCATGGCAATTTCCAAATATTGCCACTTCTTAAACTCTTTCTTGCTCTTCTTGTGGATTGCATCAGCTAACTTCCTAAGAATCGGGACTGAAATTGGGATTTATTTCACCCTTTTGTGGACAAAGATATTTTTTTTTGGCTGTTGTCTTTCCTTTGTTGTAAGTACCTTGGTAGTCATGACTGCCTGTATGACTTTCTTTATTTGTTTTTCCTATTTTTCTTCATTTGTCTATTTATTTTTCAGATATAAATTGTTTTTAGGAAGTTTAATTTTTTGTTCATACTTTTTGTTATAGGTTCTTCGTCCATGGGTTTTTCCTATTTTTGGTCCCGAGGTATTATTTTCTCCAGTGTGTATATGATAATCTTGTCCAATTATACTAGACAGGATTATTTCACATGGTTATATTAACTTATTTCCAAACATAATTTACTGAATCTTGCTAAGTTGATTATTAATTTTATGGATGTAGTGGAATGATATTAGCCCAAACGAAGTAGCAATTGCATTGGAGATGCTTAGAAATTATGAGCCTCTGAAGGTATGAACTTGGCAGTTTTTGTGTTCTTGACTTCTTTGTTGAACTCTTAGAAATTTGTCACTATTGTTTGTCCTCTTTTTAGAGTAATATTTCTTAACATTCAAAAGAGTTACGCTAAATTAACATCATAATTAGTACTTCAAGTTCTATTCTATAGAATCTGGTGCTACTGTCCAAATCTTCTGCTGACATGAGTTGCAGCTTCAGCACGACGTGTTCTAAACACTCATTGTTTGTTAATTTAGTAGATGGAGCACATTTTTCTGTTTCGCTTTGGTTTCTTTATCAGTTTTTTTATTTTTTTGGTAAGGTTCTATATTATTTTTACTTTCTTAAAACTTAAGTGATCAATTTTAATCATATGTCTGATATGTTGTCCATTGAAAACCAGGAAGATTGTAAAATGCCAGCTTACCTTGGAGTTGACAACTGAGAAAAGTATCGTATTCTTGATTCTTTGGTTTTAGAGGCTTTGGGGGGTGTTGACATTCAATTGCTACGTAATTGTTTACCTAATACAGCAGATGATGTGTTTCTCGCTGAGGATGTTACTTTTGCATGCTCAGTTTTAGCTGATGGCTTATTCGTTGGGCTCTATGAATTGGCTGCTATGAAAGCATCAGCAGTATCACCCTCTCTCTGCTCTTTCCGCCCACCCCCTTTCACTTAATTTGTCTTGTGTGTGTGGAAATGTTACAACTTTATGTAAATGGATGAATCAAAGTGCTTGTTTTATGCATTTTTCTCTCTTTATACTCTTTTTTTTTGGGTGGTTTTCTGTTCCATATTTGAAATGGCCTTTCTTGAGTTCCTAAGTTGCACATACACTATTAAGATTTTGGCATGTTCATGTTGGACACTTCTTGATATGTGTATAACACACATCCTAACTTTTGCTATTATTATTTTTAAAATTGTTTGTATAACTGGACTAACTTTGCACAGTTGGGGTTATACATGTTTTTTGCTTATGCAAGCATGGAATTCTTAATTTTAGGAACAATTTTTGAAAATTTATTTAGATGTTTGACTTTCTAAAATTGATGTTGGACTTTTTGTTCTCACTTCTTTTCTCATTTATAGAATGTGTGAAATGATTTCTTATACTAAAATAAAATAAAAATTTATTTTTAAAGTAAAAATGAATAGAGTTGTTATTTGGGTAAATTATATTGATTTTCCCCGAGTAATGATGCAGTTTGAGGAACTTTTATCGACCTCCCGTATGGTAATGATAGTTGTAACTGTTTTAATGAAGGTGATGGAATTTCTATATTACCTTTAGGTACTTTGCGTTTAAATGCGGATACGGACACAGCATGGACACGACGATATATTATATTTTATTTACTACGTAAATTAATTCTACATCCACAAACAAGTAATTCAATATTTTACGAACAATCCGAAGTGTCCTTGATGTGGCCCCGATGTGCCCCTTGAAAAAAATTAATTAAATAAACCGGCACACCGGATGGCGTGTCCCTGTGTTCAATACCTCTATGACATTTGTTTTGAAGTGTCAGTGCTTAATAGATTGTCGCACAGTAATATCCAAACATTTACCAAAATTGCTAAAACAAGTTATATTCCCTTACCAAAATATAATTCAATGGCTAAGAATAAAACATTTGAAATTCTATGGCTACTACAGGTTGCGTTCGGGTTTATAGTGGGTTCCTTCATGTCCACATGCTGACATGAATTATTGTATGGATCCTGCTCAGTTTACGCGTGTTCAACCCTAATCAACCAATTTAATATTCGTGTTGTTGTGTCGTGTAATGTTTGTGTTTGTGTCAAATAAATGACCAACCCAAACTCTCTAATTATGTGTAAATTTTGAGTTGTGTTAACGGGTTGGATGTCAAATTCTCACCCCTACCAGCAAGGGAACAAGAGGAAAAATAGAATACAAATTCCTAAATAAAGTTACTGTTGAATTAATCTTCAGTTTATGCTTCAACAAAATTTGTTCTCGTCCCCTATCACTAGCGCCACAAACTAGTTCTTGTTGTTTCATAGGTTTTCCTAATTTTATGTGTTCTATGCCCTGCATGTTCAAGTGGTTCATATATTTTTGTGGTGTACTTTTGATTAATCATTTTTCCTGCCTTCATTTCGGCCGTTTTCAGTTACTGTAGTGCATCCTGGGTGGGTGTTCTGTTGGTCTCATCGAATTCCTTAGCTTCTTGCATTAGGGGTGTACATGGATTAGTTTGGTTCGATTTTGAGGAAAACCAGGAACTGCACACCAATCTGTTAGCAATAAACCACATGTCTAAACGATTGACTACTTATTTTGAAAAAAAAAAAAATAGACCTGGACACTAGACTGTTTTTAGAAAGAAAAGGACCAATTCAGACCGGATTATAGATTAGTCGGTTTTTGTTTAACAGCTCTATCTTGCTTTGTTTGGTCATGTAATTTTTGTTGGTAAGAATATGTAAATGAAATTCGTAATTGAATTGTGGTGCCTTGAATCCCATTCTCAATGCTCTCTCTCTGGTTTCTATTTTATGTCTCCTTTCATGATGTCGGTTGTTTTGTTTTGTGTTTTTTGATTTTTTGTTTTTTTGTTTTTTTCCAGTTGCAGTACTTCCAGGAAGCTGTAATTTTTCCTTTATCAGATGGTTGCTTTGGACCTTTTACAGATGAGTTCATTGAAGTGATTAAAATTGCTGATCATGAGAGAAGAATGCAAGGTGATCGTTTCATCAGTGTAAAGCATCTTTTGTTTGGCCTTTCACTTTCAAGTGTTCGTAGATGTGTTGAGATGATGCTCCATGGTAGAGTGCTAGATTATACGGGTCAATTAGCTTTGAAGCTCTCATCGTTTAGCATTTACAAGTTATCGCGCGATGCAGCTACCATTCTTGGTTAGATTTCTATTTTTGTAATGTCCTCAACATCCTATTGAATTTACTCGTTATAAATTTATATTGCCGCTGGATATTATGAATCTTTTTATTTTAAAATGGAGGTAAGTTGGGCTGTTCTGGAAATATTTAAGGCATTAAATTGCTAGTTCAGCCTTAACGTTGCTTTGGGTTCGGTTGAGGAAACTGGATTTGTCCAGTTGGTGGATGCAGTAGGTTTATGCATATTCATGTTCCCCCCTCACACCTGAGCATATATTTCGCAGGTGATAAGAATGTTGGACTTGAGCACTTGGTTCTGGCAATTTTCTATGGAAAGCAAGAAAATGATCGTACAGGGACGGTAAGGTCTATTTATTTGGGTATCCTTTTTGTTAGGTCTTCCCATCTTCATTGTTATGGATAACTGACCAAAACGGAAATGTCCACTGGCACACAAATATTGGTTAGTTATCCGTGTTACTTTTTTCCAGCATATTTTGCTTGGCAACATGGGGTCTTGAGCTTGCTATTATGTTAATTATGAGTGACTTTTCCATAATTATTATTTTATTTCTCTTAAAGGCTGCACAGGATGATTGCAGTTCTTTGTTCTTCGACGAGAAGAAATGGGATGATTACCTCTTGAAACGTAAGAATCAAATATGCATTCATTGTTTATATGATATACACAAATGTTTAGATATTTATATAATATATATATATATATATATATATATATATATATATATATCTGTAAATGGAGTTTTATTCAATTGACTTCCTGTGCTTATTTTTGCCTTTTGCAATCTTCCCTCTCCCCAGATTTAAGATAGAGGGATGAGTGTGATTTTGCAAGCTTCAATGACAGTGATTTTTTCAGATCATTGCTACCCGAAGATTGTTTGTCTTTTGGTAGACCGGCGGCATTATGTGGCTTTTCTATCAAGGATGAGCTGCACAAGGCTTTAAAGTCTGGCTTGAAGTTGAACGCTATTCGGGGGTAGAATTATTACCTTCCCTTTTGTGGGCTGGTCTGGCTTCCACTGTATATGCTGTTTGATACATCACGAATGCCCCTGTGAATATGGCTGGAAGGTTATTATTACTTTCGAAATAGGAATATATATTGCAAGTGAAGCCCGTGTTTGATTTATTTATTTGTTTATCTTTTTGGCTGAAAATTGCTTAACTTACGTTTCATGTGATAAAAAAAAGTGGTTAGACATCCTCAAGTAAAGCATGTGGAAGACCAAAAGAGTTATACTAGTTCATGACCACTTAATAATATACAAAGTTGACATACTCGATTAGTCCCTGTTGGTCTATTGGCTCTTATACTGTGTATCATACAACGTAATCACTGACAACCACACAAGGAAAGGGTATTGTATTTTACTCAGTTAATGATAAAAGGTTAGTTGATACATAATTCTATCTCCATGTATATACACACGCATAAGAAAATCCAAGAGAAGCACATTAATATTTGTGTACAAATAAAGGTTTTTTTCTTGGGTTTTAAGAATGCATAATGTTTTCAAAACAAGATATCATGGTTAGTAGAGGCCGATCTTCGGATCGGGCGAGAGAGGGTGCTCATAGCTGACCTTCCCCAATTGTACCCAAGTTCCCGAGCCGAGGCATCTCTGGTGATGACGGACACGTGGCCTTAGGCAAACGAGTCAGGGTTTCCTAAATTCTCCCAAAATAAAATATTTAGGTGGTGACTTTGTATCTGGCAAAGCAGTCCATGTTTGGCACTTCTTTACAAAAATTTGTTTTTCAAAACGATTTGCCGGATTTGGACTCCTTGGTTCAGATTAAGAACTGTGACAATTAGAGTCCGAACTGTAGTGAGCCCAAAACGAAAAGAACGGGACTCATCCTCCCGGGGCGTTCGGAGACGTCTACAAGTACATATGGTGGGGCTTGTAGACCGGTTACAGGAATTCAAAAAGAAATCAAAAAAGATAAGTCTAAAGTACGCTAACGGGAAGAGGTCGGCAAACTAATCCCCGGCTCCTTTGGTCGCGGCCTCTAGGTCTACAACAATAGCCTTTTCCTTTTCGCCGAGCTCCTTTTGGCTGCCCTCGTCCTCAGCCTCTTTTTCCACCTCTTCTTTCAAAGTGTTGAAGGCTTTGTTGGCATAAGGAATTAGGTAGACCGGCAGGAAAGCGGGAGGAGGATAAGCGAATACCTCGGTCTCAGATCCTTGGACGAGTTTTTCGTAAGCAGCCTACCAACTGGGCTGGAAATAGATGTCTTTGGTGGCTTCGACATGCTTGGTGTAGTTGTCCTTGGCCTTCTTGAAACTGAGATTGTTTGCCTCATCCACGGCGGCCTGCTTCACTTGTTTTTCGGCTATGAGTTAGGCTTTCAGTTCGTTCCTCTCTTGCTCGGCCCTGCCGAGCTGGCCAAGAAGCCTAGCGTTGTCAGCGTTGGCCATTTCAAGTGAAGCCTTAGCCCGGCCAAGCTCAGCGGCTACGTTTTTACCGGTGTTGTTTAGCTCGGTGACTTTGTGGCGCAGGTTCACAATTCGATCCATGACCATGTGCTGTTTCTGGATGGCCTGTAACAAGAAAGATGTTAGCCAAAATAAGAAGACTAACTGAGCAAAGACTTGGGAAGATTTCGAAAACATACCCTAGTCATGGACTTGACCGCGGATTTAACAAGCTGGGTGTCAGGAACATGTTCGCTCCCAGTCACGTCACTCGGTACCCTAGTCAATGCCTTCAACAGGTTAAAGGCAAAGAGGTGCTCCTTGTCACCCTTCACAGACACGGTAGCCGGGATTTCTTTGCCCCGGTGTTTGAACTTCGGCCTCCACGGTGCATCCGGCTCGGCCTCCTACGCTGCTTGTTAAGTACTTAGTTTGGCAACAAGCTCGGCTGAGGGGTCAGCAAACTGGGCTCTCTTGCCAGCTCGGCAGGGCTCGAAGAGGGCAGCCGTGGAAGCCAGAGCGATCACGATCCCCGAGCTCTGGCCGACGGATGGGGCAAGAGGTGGCATGCTCAGAATCTCGACAGAGGTAGCAGTAATCAGGTTCTTGATCCTACTCCTTTTTGCCATTTCTTCTTCCTCAATCAGTTGTATAAGGGGCACGTCTGGCAGAGTTGGGTCAGGAGGGGAAGATGGAGCCCGGAGAAAGTCTGTGATCTTACTCCTACGCAGCGCTAAATAGCGGTAGGAGGGGACGTAGCCGAGGAGATCGTGGCAGTCTCGATGCCGGTATCTCAGCACAGCCCTGATCGCTTCCTCGTTGGGATACTGGTAGTTTGCTTGTAGTTCTTCAATAGCTGCAAAAGAAGAAGAAATAAAAAATAATTAGCTTGGCGCGAACAATCTACGTAAAAAAGATTAGTTGGGAAGATAAGCTTACAAGATGAACCGAAGTTCTTGCTAATATACCAATCGGGCACGTCAGCCGTCTCGTAGTTATCGGTCACCCAGAAAAAATCGTTGTCGTTCATGTCTTTATCTGGCATGCTGGTCACTAATCTTTCCCTCCCCGACCTTATTTTTAGATAATAGTTGAAGCCGTCTTTTGTTCGACCAGCGTGTATTGATGTAAGATCTCGGCTAGGCCCAGGTTTAAACCAAGGCGGTTGTTCAGCTCGGCCACGCCGTTTATAATTTGGTATGTGTTGATAGATACTTGGGTAGGTGCTAGCTCGGTTCTTCTTAAGAATTCGCACATGAGGGGTTGTACCGGGAAACGCAACCCGCTCTCAATCATGCTCAGTACGGTGAAGGGGCAAGATTCTAATATGCCCCATGGATTTATGCTCTCTTCAACGAGCTCCAGGTGTACATCGGCGGGGACGCCGTACTCCTCGCGGAACACGGCAAGGGCGCCCGGCGTGTCTACAAGGAAACGGTAGCGCCTCATGAGTGACCAGCTTGTTCAGCTCGGCAGTGTTGGTTTGATTAAATTTTGCACGGCGGCTGCTCGGTCTTTAAGAGCCCTTGTGTTGGTATCTAGTCCTTTAGGACTTTGCAGTTAAAAGCCAAATGTAAGTAATAGCGTGGTCGCGCAAACGAGCTTAAGCTCTGCCCGGTCACTTTGAGCGCAACAGCACCTCGGTCCGATTGGGTGAGACCAACAGCTTAGTCGCTAGAAGTGGACAAGATATCAGCTCGGTCGAGCGTCCCAGTGCTTTCTTATCTCGATTCTCGCCTAAGTACTACAAACTTGGAACTAGCTCGGTCCACTTATGATTTTGGATCAAACGAAGACATAAAGCCCGGTCTATCCCAGATCCTCGCGTGTTCATCACAGAAGATGATGAACAATTAAGAGAAAAAGGGCAGAAATGGTTTTTGGGGTCACATCCTAGGTTAACTCCATTTGAAGTCCTAAAACCTACTGTCTTCATGCCCTAGACTCAACTATGATAGTCAATGGCCCAGTTATACAATAAAAACATGAGTAACAGATGAAGAGCAGAGGAGAGTCGAAGACTTACAGGTTAGGGCTCGGACGGTAGCTTGAAACAATGGGACGGGGCCCCCAACGACGGCGAAGGTGTGGAATGGGCTTGCGGGGATGCTCCAATCTCAATAGAATGAGTGAGGGCGAGAGCTTTTGATCGCAGGGTGGTTTTGAAGCTAGAATAGAACAGGAAGGGAAATGAAAGGAAGTGTGATAGGTAGAAGAAGGGAAAAGAAGCGCCAAAATTTGAATGTGAAGAGGTAGCGGGAGGCGGCTGGGTTGGCTGTTTGAGGCCAATGAATGGACGACACGCGTCTATAATAACGGCGACGTCAGTACTGAAAAGACAGGTTGGTAAGTCGAGGCGCCGACTGAGCAAGTCAAGAGACCGAGCATAGGACTTAGCGCGGTGAATGTTTTGCGGTGTAAGGCCAGGCAGAGAAACGACCCCGGTCGGAGCATGTAATCCCAGTCACGCTAGCACGGGTGGAATTAAGGGGCAATTGAGAGGGAGATTTCATAATCTGGCTTTGGGCCGTGGTAATGACCAGGCTAAAATTGGTTCGAGCATGTTTGGGCCGAGCTGGGCTGGGCCAATCCAGGGGCAGTTCGCTTGGTTAAAGCCCAGGTTCGATTTGGCCGGGATAACTTCTTTGCCAGCCTGGTTCACATTGTTTGCTCGTTGAGATCGGCGTGTAAGATCCTGCACAGATCGGCCCAACCGAGCAAGAGCTCAGTTCGCGTTGTTTGCTCGTTGAGATCGGCTTGCAAGATCCTCTGCAGACCGTCCCAGCCGAGCAAGAGCTCGGTTATAACGGGGCTCGGCTAGGAGCATTGCATGTCTTAGAAGTAATACAGTCGTAGGAAGATGGGGTAAGCTGCCGGGTTGTCCGTTCGCGCCAACGTCGTTTGGCAGTTTGGTTAGGTGGTGTTTAGCTATATTTGTGTTGACACGTGGGAAAGTGGGATAAGAGAGCAGGTCCACGCGTCAAAAGGCGAATGGATGCAGAGGCACGCACAGAAGGTATATAAGCGTGACTACGCCCCCCATGCTGGGGATGGAACATCTTCTGGTGAGAGAAACACTAACACATTGTCTTCTCTTCTCTCTCTCTCTCTCTCTCTCTCTCTCTCTGAGTGTGTGTTGACTTGACTGTCGAATGAGTTTTCTGGCAACGCACTGCCAGGTAGCTCACCTTCGTTGTGTTCGCAAGTCGATCGGAGAAAGGCGTAGCTTGGACGCGAGAAGTACGGGTGGTACCGGATATTTGGCTCCCGTACAAGGCATGATACAATGTTTTATGAAATTTTTTTATTATTTAATTAATGTGTGATATTTTATTGTGTGTAATTTAAAGACAAAAAAAATTTATAAAATTTTTCATTCTTTTTTATGATGTCTAACATTACTCTTAAAAAAAAAAAAAATCAAAAAATGATTGGTTTCACTATTTAAGCATAAAAATTAGACTTGTTTTACAAATTTAATTGTATGGCAATATATAAAAACATCTAAAGTAAAATTTCTCTTTCATATCATTTCTAATAATCCACCAATCATCTCATTTACACAGGTCTAGAAAGTGGATCTATAAAGTAGACTTGTACATCATTCTTCCATTAGGATTAGGTTTTTGTAAGTTAAAATTTAAATTTGAGATAACTTGAAAGGCGCATGGAGCTCACTATAAATTTTGTTTCGACAATTTAAAACATTG